CACATTCAGCGAAAAAACATTGAGACATGAGTATCAGATTGCTATAATTGGGATTATTTAGTCATATTGAAAGAAAGAATATTGAACGTCGTATGATTACTCAGCGCTTCACAATTTAATTTAAAGTTATAAACCTTTAAAAAATGAATGATCAGGAACCTGAAATACGCGCAAATATTAATATTAACAAATTATAACTTTATAAAGCTTAAAGTATGAATTAAAATGATTAGAAATATTAGGAACGGTACACAATATAAAACTTAGTAACTTTTTTTAAGTTTATAATATTCGACATATTTTAAGATTATATTAAAAAGTTATTGAAATATCGAAAACACATAAAAACATGGCTTAAAAAAGTTCTAACAAATGAAAATGACAATAAAACATCCACGCATTTTATCGAAAGTTATAAAAGTTTGGTTGCTTGTAATATGTTTTATCTGCCCCCTGGAATTAATGTTTAGAACCTTGTTCCCAAGGTTTGAAAAACATCCGATTGTTGTCTATTACTCGTATTTACGTGCTGGATTTTTTAATCCGGTGGACAGTCCATCTAGAAAGGCCCTCCTGGATGAAGTTACAGAATCATCAACCCATACTTTACTTGTAGTGTGTCCTGCGTTTACCCACGTTTCATCAAGGTAATAAATCTTCCTGTTTTGATTTCTATATTTCCCAATTTTTGTTAAATAATCCCTCCTCCATAGCACAATTTCTTCTCTATCCAGTAGTAAACTATTACGACCCCGTTTTTTCCATTTGAAATTTAAATGCTTCAGTAACGCATGGAAAGTTGATCGTTTGAAATTTGGCAACGTTGTATCTCCATTTATCTCCTGCAGTACTTTATCTATAGTAGGTATTTCATTCCTAAAGAAGAATTCATGCACTTTCCTCCTAATCGCATGCTTATCAGCTTCATCCAATGATTTAACAATACTTTTGCGATGTTTACTGGTCATTGGCTCAGAAAAGGTGTGATTTTTTTTGTATTGTCTTAACACATTAAACACTGATGCGCGACACACCCCAACTTTGTGAGAAACCTTCACAACAATTTCTTTGATGGTTGATGCCTCGTTCTCCTCGCGCTCGATCTTATATATATTCAAAATGACCTCTTTCATTTCTGCACTCAGGTGTCTTTTTTTAGAGCGTTTCCTAGGTGGACTACAGGAGTTTACAACTTAATCGGCAGTATCTGTACTACTGGGCATTTTGCGCAAGCAGTTGATAACAATAACAATCAATAACAAGGTATAACAATAACAACGACAAACTCAACAACTTAATAAGATAACAAACGAAAACGTCCAAAGAAATATCAAATTGCAATGATGCACACGACATACGTAACACGTCTGAACCTGAATGTGACTCTGCCTTGATACGACTGCTCTGCCGCTCGGCATAGGCATTTAATTGCGAATTGACCAATGAGGGCTCCTGTTTTACGTCGAGACGGCGGCGTTAGCGTGAAAATCACCCGAACCTTTTGTTTACATCCGGTCTATCTCTTATCTGAATATACTGTAGGTGGCTCACCCCTATAGCTTTTTGTTATGGAAGATAGAAAAACGAAATTTAGGAATTACGTATTATATTTGACATATTCACTTGCTTTGATGTACTTTCTGTTTGACCGGAAACGACGGACACTCTATATAGTTTTATTTTTCGATCGAGAATGAGATTCTGAACTCATCAACGCCTCAATATTTGACAAATAAAGTCGCTTCATTTTTTATCAAGTAACACGGGAAAAATACAACCTTACAGTCACTTTAAAGATTTTCTATAAGTTACAAATACTATTTTTTTCAGATGTGGGTTAATAAAAATACTGTCAGTTTTATTTTTTTTTTGTTAATTTACAATAGAAAATTGTACTGTTGGCCTATGTTTAAGTAAATTCTGCATCGTCAATTATTCGGCAAATTGTTTTAGAATGTGACATAAGTAATTCATCCGCTTGGAGAATTCTTCACAAATATAATTACCGATCATTCAAGTACCAATTACACGATCTTTACGATAATGACCACAGCCGAAGATTAACTTATTGCAACTTGTTTTTGACTTAATACACAGATGTACGTTTTCTAGTTAAAATGATTTATTCAGACAAAAGTCGGTTTACCAACTTGGGCATCTTCAATCGGAATAATAAAAGGTATTGGTCACAAACAAACTTACGTCTAATGCAAGAAGGAAGTTTTCATGAGGTATTACAATAATTTTCGATGGACAACTTATTGTAGAAAGATACCTACAGTTCCTAATTAATGAAATAAATGGTTTCATTGAAGATTTGCCACTGGTTAACCATGTTGATATTTATTTTCAACAAGATGGGGCTTCACCTACGAATTCTCATGCGGTAAGAGCACATCTGAATGATAGCTTTCCAGAAAAGTGGATTGGCACTAATGGACCTATTCAGTGCCACCAAGGTACATCCTTAATTTGTCATATTTTATTTAGAATATCTAATTTATTTTTCATATTTCAGGTCACCAGATCTTACTCCGCTAGATTTTTCTCTTTAGGGGACTATTCAAAATCAGGTGTTTAAAAATTCGTCAGCTACTCGCGAACTGGAGCATAAAGTGAGGGCGGCATTCCGGAACTTCTCTGCGGAACAGTTAATCAATGTGGTGCAAGCAACAATTGATAAAGTTGAACTTTGTGGTGATCAAGGAGGAGGCCATTTTGAACACTTAGAACCTTGATGGCATTTTTCAAAATCTTATTTTTTGTTATAATAATGATACGATATATATTCAATTCATTTGTATAGTTTATTCCAACATAGGCCAACACGACTATTTCTTTTTCTTCACTGACGACAAAGTTATTCGCAATTCCTTCTGGTTCGTTGCACATTTTGTATTTCGAAAGCAACACCTTCAATTGTTTTTCACGGATAACTAGAATAATAGGACTTCGTCCATAGGTATGCCGAATGCTGATACATATTATTTGTTGTTAGGCATGTTCGTTTCTTACAATTATTCAGAAAAATAGTGAAAATAAAATAAGAGTGTGTATTATCAAACTATTCGTAAGAAAATGGTCTCTTAGAAAAAGCCGACGAGCATCCACCTTTATACTCGAAAAAATCAAGTGAACTGAAAAAATTAGTGCAACTTTTAGAAAATCCTTAAAACGACTGTGATGTCGTTCGCCTGAACATCGTATATTTCCCGAATTACTTGTTCAAAAATGAAGAGATTTACAGGATCCATGGCATTCTAGATCGAAAAATAAAAATGACTTTATTTGCCAAATACTGTTAACTTCAGATTGTCATTCTCGATCGAAATAAGTAAAAATACACTGCCACGAAAAATTGACCAGACAAACAAAATTAATCTTCGCATTAATTTCGTTAATTTTTTCGTCAGGTTGTAGGTAATTTCAATGTCATCATTATCCACTGTCGATCTTGGAAAAAATTGAAAATGTTGGGTGTTATACAGGGTGTAACTAAGATGTGCATTTTGCCCTAAATTTCTGACCACCCTGTGGAAACATTGGATTAATGTGTCTTCGTATGATAATTTTAAACCTCAACTTTTCTCAACAGTTCTTTTTTTGAATCAATTATTGAAGAATATATGCTGTTTTGAAGAAAACCATGCGAATTATAGCCATAAACAATTTAATTTAAAAAATTATCGTGACAACATCGGTAGTCTAGTACTTGAATTCCAACATCGTTGAGGTATTGCCTAGTCATTCTGGCGATATGCGGCCGAGCTTTATCTTGCATTAGGAGAACATTTTCTCCTATAAAGGGCATATGAGGAACCACATATTGTTCCAAACACTCTCTAATGTACCTGTCGGCAGTAAGGTGTCCTCCTCGTAGCGAAACAGAATCTGTGCGGGATTTCAAAGAAATACCGCCCCATACCATCACTCCTCCACCACCAAATTGCACTCTAGGAGCGAAACAAGTTTGAGCATAGCGTTTTCCACTCCTTCTCCACATTCTTTGGCGACCATCAGGTGAATATCTCGTAAAACAAGACTCTGTAAAAAGAACGTTTTTCCAGTAGTTCATATCCCAATCGGCATGAGATATGTTTCGTTCTCTCAACCTTCGGCGTACGGTATTAGGTGAAACTATGATACCATGAACATAATCCAATCTTCGAGTCAAAGGTGTAGCAGGAACTGTCCTTTCTCGAAGAGCTTGAAGTCCCAGCAACCGATCTTCAACTGCGTTGGTTGCTTTCCGTCTATCTTGCCCAAATCTTCTTGAGTAAGAATCAGCTTCTCTAAATCTGTGTATCGCATCGAATACCGTACTGCGTGGAATGGCAAGCCTTTCTGCGATATACCGAATAGGACGACCATCAGCTTGTAAACCTACAGCTTGTTCTACTTGTTCCGGTGTCATTTTTGTTGAGTATCGCTTGACAAGAATCTTTTTGACACGCCATAAAAATGCTAGCAGACTACTTGAAACAATTTCTTATCCGGCAAAGCCTCGTTGAAACAATGTCTTGTTTATGGCTATGACTCACATGATTTTCTTCAACACAGCATATATTCTTCAATAATTGACGTATTGACATGAATCAAAAAAAGAACTGTTGAGAAAAGTTGAGGCTTAAAATTCTCATACGAAGACACATTATGCAGTAATCCAATGTTTCTACAGGTTGTTCAGAAATTTAGTTTAACATGCACCTTTTAGTTACACCCTGTATAACAACAAATATTTTAATTTTTTTTGAAAGATCGGCATTCGATAATGATGACAATAAAGTTAAGTACAACTTAACGAAAAAAATTAACGAAACTGATGCAAAGGTTAAAAAGTAGTTTAAAATTTTTCGTTTCGTTTTCATATCTTGAATAATAAAACAGTTATAGTGGTGAGCCACCTTGGAGAATCGCCCGGTATAATTTGAGTTACAGAGATTGGTTCCAAACTTGTGTTTTCAAGAGGGATAAAGGAAAAAATAAAAACACGTATATTTCTCAGACATATATACTTTATTTGGTCCACAAATAATTGAATCCGTCTAATACTAAAATCTATATCCATCATAGTGATTGTATATATTTAAAAATATATCAATCGTTTTGTTTCATCATAAGATTATTGTTATTTTGTAAGATATCAATATTTCAAATAAAGTTCCATACATTTAAAATAACCTCTTTACACATAGAAAAATAAATGCATTTAATAATAAATACTCTGTGCTCTGGTGATATGCTATTTACGGAAAGCTTAGAAGTTCAGGGAAAAGAGTTATAAGCCTTTTTTCTTACGCAGAAGAATAATGAGCCTTGACATGGTTATTCATTTGAAAGATCGGGTATTTGATCGTCGAGATTATCGTAGATTATTATTTTTTTATCTTGATGATAGGTCATTGTATCTACTATTTCCATTCTGCTCTTTCCGTTCACCCCCGGCAAGAATATCAAAAAATCATTATACAGGGTGTCCGCAAAGTTGGGGTTTTCCTTTACACGACGTAAGCAATTTTTCTTAGTACCTTTTTACACCAATGTCTTAAGTTAACCGAGATAAAGAGCTCTGCAACATCAAAAATATCTGAATACCGTCCTGTAGCCGCGACATCACGGAGTGGTACAATGTCAGTGGCTCAACGACAGAACTGGGTCGGGGTCAGTGTGTCAGGTCAGTATGCAACCTTCAACCGACGGCTACGGTCACGTGAGGTAATCGCGTAGACGAGAATCCCTCAACAAGTACTAGAGACGTGGCTAGAGAAGTGCAAGTATCAAAAACTAAAGTGTGGCAAACGCTGCGTGAAGAGGGGCTGTACCCGTTTCACGTCCAACGTGTACAAGCCCTTCAACCTGACGATTTTCCAGCAAGAGTGCGGTTTTGTGAGTGGTTGTTGCATCAACATGACAATGACAATAATCCGGACTTTTTGAAGTGCATATTGGTGACAGACGAATCTACGTTCACTCGTAATGGAGTGAATAACTTTCGCAACACTCATGTTTGGTCAGTAGAAAATCCGCACGCTGTCCGTCGGGCACATTTTCAACAAACATTTTCGGTGAATGTTTGGGCTGGCATGGTGCGTCTGCTCGGTAGCGCATCAGCTGATTTCATTTTCTGTTGGAGCGGTATGATTTCGGGCAGAGACGTACTTAGCCCTTCTCTTCAACTGGAAGTGGGAGTGAGTACTTTTTCCTTTATTTTTTTTTACTTGGTCGCCCTCGTTTCACTACACATTACCTTTGTTATTTCAAGGGTAGTTGTTTCTGAAAAGGAAAACCCCAACTTTGCGTATTATGTGCTGGAGGACAAGAGACGAAACGTAATATTGAAATTCCAATTATCCCTTCTTGTAGACGAGAAAAAGTGGCAATGTTAATGTGTCAATGGTCAGAGTCAAATTTGAAAGACCCTGCAAAATTTGTTGGACTTTGTCTCCTGTGACACTCTGGAATGAATACGGCGAATTACCAGTAACCTTGTATACTGGCAGTGACACTATAAAAACCCGATCTTTCACGGATACTGAACGCTTTAATCAATTCTATTTTTCTAGGTAAGATCATAGTGAACTGAACAATTTTCTCAGTTTTACATTTAACAAAGACTACCTAGTTATTAACAAAAAACCCGTGGACGGTCTGATATCGAAATATAAAATGGGACATACTAAACACCGCTCTGGTCTAATTCTCTGATATTTTACAGGTAGGTACAAAAATAACAGTCCCGAGAGCAAGGCTTATTCCTCTAATCCACGATATACATTTATGTATATGTTTTTTAAGGTCATAGTCGATATGAGGAAAAATATTGACAAGTAATCTTAATGCTATTAATATTATTAAGTATAATAAGAGGAGTGACTTGTGTGTTATTTGCTTGGAAAGTCTTGAAGCACCCTATATATTATTTTGTAGGATTATTACTCGTATTGGTGTTATAAGTATTATAGACACTTAACTAATGTTATGCTTACCCACATACTAGTTGGACTATCGAGATAAGGTAGTCTTACGATTTGCAAGCAATTTTTCAAACATAAAAGCATACTAACTTTAGGTATCGTATAGTTCTTACACATGTCTCAAAATGTAGCACAGTTTTTAACCATGATCATTTAAAAAAATCTAACGTTTTGGGCTTTCTCTCAATTTAGCGCCGTATCATCAGTCATTCCTACAATTGTAGGACGTCTTTATGACCTCCTTTTTTTTTCATAGTCTTTTCTCTCCTGCAGAAAGGCTGGGGTATTTCAAGATGTCTACTGTTCCGTGACAGCGTCAGTGCTCTCCTATTGCGAGGCTATGTTTTCTTTTTAAATTGTAGGGAATTTCAGGCTGATATAACAAATGATATAAATCAAAAGCATGAGCAATTTGATGGAAATAGATATTTGTAACATAACCTCAAAATAGAGCACTGAACGTAACAGGGAGGCCATGAAGGCGTCCTACAATTTATTGTATAATTTCTAAATTTCTACTGTTCCGTGCCAGCGCCAGCGCTCTGATATTGTGAGGTTATGTTTTATTTTTAAACTGTAGGACATTTCAGGCTGATAAAACAGTCGACATAATTCAAAAGCATGAACTATTTGTTGCAAATAGATTTTTGTAACATAACCTCAAAATAGAGCGCTGACACGGAACAGTAGAAATCTGGAAATACCTCTGCCTTTCTGAAGGATAGAAAAAACTATGAAAATCAAAGTCATGAAGGCGTCCTACAATAATAATTGTAGGAACGACTAACGATACGGCCTTTAGCTATGCATGTTTTGTGCACAGTTCTGCATCTTCGAATGATGAAATTGATGAAATAACTTGTTGACAATTTGATAGAGATGACAAAGTTTCATATGGTTAAACATCTCGTGAACAGTAGAGTCTGGATTTTGTTCTTCTTGCCATGCCAGCAGTCGTATGAAATAACTACTATATACTTAATATTGTCCAAACATTTATCTACTGAATGAAATATGAGTTTAATTAATTCAACGACAAACATATTGATGTTCATATCTAATTGATATGTGTTTTAAACTGAAGTAGTTAGACATTTTTTCAGTTGGTAATGGCTGGTTCATAATGAATGTGTGACAGCTCGTATCATATACTCTCCTATTATGTGTATTATGATTTATGATCATGTCTAATTCTACCATACTATAGAGTTTTCATGGTATTCTAAGTTCCTTTTCTTCAGGACTAGGACTGTCTCGTCGTCGAGATTTCACCCTCACTACCTGAAAGAAAATGCATCAAACACAATAATTTCATAGTTACTGAAGTACCAAAATAGCTTGAAACAAATATTGACTAATTAATAATAATGAAATTATATTTTTAATTAATCTGGTAAAAGTAAACTTCAAAGTACATGATCTTGAATTTTCACACATGTCTTAGAGCATGAAGATGGATTAACTCAGAAATCCCAATCGCTATCTATGGAAACTCAGTTTATTATATCTCTAAAATGAAACTGAAGTAATTCATGACATAATGATACAGAACAATCATTACTTAGATTTAAACAAATATACTTTGATAAGCTTTCGTAGGCAACTTAAGGGGATAGGGCAACTGTCACAGACTGATGGATAGAAAGATTCATAGATGACTCAACTGCCATAGATGAGAGGGGTGGATGGATAGATGGATAGATGACTCAAGTATGTATTATAGATTCGTTGGAAATACTGATGTGTTTTATTTGAACAAATATTCAATATTGCAATAGCAGTACCTGACACCAGACAAAGTTATTCCCACAGAACATTATTTTGTAACATTCCAATTTAATATTTGTGAAAGATTCAAATGTACGTTACAAAAGCGGACATTTTCATATACGTCACCTGTCAGAAATATTGCATCAATCTTATGTAAGCGTTTTGAAACATTACGATTATTACAATGTGAGATTTCTGAAATATTTCTGTATGGGTATCGTGAGGGTCACAATCCTTCTCTCCCTTCTTACCGTGTTTGTTGTCCTCTTTTTATTAAATGAACTCAGTATTTTGGCGCAGTCACGTTTACTTTACCTGTCTGTGGCCATTGTCTTCAGCGACTGGACTGCAAACGCTCGCGCCACCATATTGAAGTCCCTGGCCTGCGGCAGCTAGGCGGACTTTTTCGGAACTTCCATCCTCTGCATTGCTATCCGACGATGCCATTGTGAACAGCAAACCCAGGTTTAGCTGAGGAATGTCATAGAAGACGGCTAGAGTCAGCATCATGAAGGTGATGCCCAGGAAGAGGTAGCCTGAACAAGAAATTTGAGCCTTTCTTTAGAAGAAGAATGGTTTAATAGAGAAAAGGCATTAAGTAGATTGTCATCAATTCATGAGGACTATGTTGTGATCGAGACATTTCTCCTTTGCCCTAACGACCACCCGACAACGTTGCAATCACAGTTGCGATGAGTGAATTTCGCCAGCGGCAGTCGTCAGTTCGCGACAGGTTTCTTCAATTTTCATTGCTTTCAGCGCGGATGTTGAACTATTACGATCATTCTTAATACGGGCAAATGTATCTACAGGGTGAACCAACTGAAAGGTCTCACCTATATTTGTGACTCCTCTGGTAAATTTTGGGAAAAATACTCGGACAAGTCAATTTTGATTTCTTTTCATTTATAGCCGTATACTACAGGGTGATTCAAAAATAAGATATTTCGCCACACTTTAGATTTTCAATATTTTTAATTTTTAAATTCTCCATGAAGTTTTTAGTAGCTTTTGTATCATAAAGTTTATACTTATATTCAATCGTTGTGAAGCTATTTGAGTTTATAATAAAATTCTACAAACGGTGATAAGAGATTAATATCGTATAAATAATAATCAATATACAGGGTGCGGTAGAGAGGATGGACGGTTTCAAAAAAATCATAAAATAGTTAATTTTTACTCGAAAACAAATTTATTGATGGAATCAGGTTCACAAGGAAATAGCATTTGAGACAGTCAAGTGTGGAAAATCACATCAGGCATGTGGTGGCTGAAATCGTTGATGCAGTGCTGGAGGCGTTCTTGGAAGTTCGCGTAGACTCTCTCCAACATCGCTCTCTCAACTTGGGCGACTTCCACGCGAATTTCGTCCTTCAATTCGTCCAGAGTTCGGGGCTTGTTCGCGTATACTCTAGCCTTGAGGTGTTCCCATAAAAAAAAATCGCATATGGATAAATCTGGGGACCGAGGAGGCCAATGAACATCGCCAAAAGGGAAGAGAGGGCGAATAACATCCATGGATGCTCGGGCTGTGTGGGCGTTCGCCCCATCCTGCTGGAACCACACACGTCGGATTGGAACACGTCGCCATCGTAATTCAGGGTGAAAGAAGTCGGTGATCATGTCGACGTAGCGCTCTGAGTTCACGGTAACATCAGGACCATTACCGTCCTCGAAGAAGCGCTCCTCTTGGTCTTCTGCTGATCAGTTCACCACGCCTGCGAAGTGATTCAACCCAACGAAGGATGGTGTTTCGAGAGGGAACAGCTCTATTCCGATGAATGTTGAAGTGGCGACGAAACTCACGCTGTACGACGATGACTGACTCATTATTTCGGACGAAACAATCATAGGCGAAAAAGGAGACTACTACCCATCCCCAAAACGTCCGTCCTCTCTGCCGCACCCTGTACTTCTCATAGTAACAAGACTTTGCGGAACGTCATAGAAAACGGTGTGTAAACATAGACCAAACGATAAATGAAAAATCATTGTTATATTCCTTCTGAATTCCATGTGACCCCTTCAATAGCTTCAATTCCCTTTTCGAATTTCTCTTTTGGTTTCTTCTACTGATCCTCCAAATCCTTCATACCTTTAAGCCCTCTTTGGCGGATTTGACCTATTTTTCAAATTCAAACCCGAACCAACAGAACATTTGCACTAATGGATACATTGATAAAATCGCAGGTACAGTAAAAGGAAGCTGTTGATGGTAGTGAGTTCAATGGTTCCAGAACACTATGGATATTATGGTATTTTTAAAAAATCTTTCGAAACATTACTTTCACTTTTCAGTTGCTCGATTGTCCTCCTTGTAGACGTGCTTTCCTTGTTTTAATAATCTCTTCAAGGTTATCTAATATTTCAGTCATAGTCATAGTCATCTTCTCTTCTTTGGTAAATTTCTTTTTACTCTCAGTGTCACAATATAAACCGTTAATAGTCGTTTAAAATTTACGAGTAATAAAATATTTCCATTCAGAGCAGTTTGGTGGTTTTGTTGCAAAATGTTGCCTATAGTTCACTCGCTGGCTGTGAATGCGGTAATCGCTATAAACTCGAGAACGACAGCACATTACTATTTTTCTTTTATTGCAATACATTTTTCACTACCGCTATAAAAATCCACCGAATACATATACTTTCAAGGTGATCGTAGATAATTCTGTTTGATTCGTATATGTGCCGCGATTTTTTAATCCCAACAAAACAGCTTCAACCAATTTTTGTATTGTCGAAGGACAAGAGTTACAATCAGCATCTGTCTTTTGATTTGCAAATATGTTTATAGCATTCTCAAAAATAAAGCATCTAAAGTTATAGATGGAAACACCCTACAGTATACTCTTACACTAAGATGTATTTATTAAAGGATTATTTTTCAATACCCTCTATTTACTATATATATATATATATATTTAAATGGTTTTATTTTAATAAAATTTTGTATAAGTACTTAATGAAGCATAATAAGTAAATGATAAAAATTTCAAAATGATTGCACTGCTTTAAAGCCCTTTGACCTTTAATAATGTGTGGATGCACCCTGATGTGCTACGCATTCTCCAACGCGCCTAGGCATGCTTCTGATCAGGTGGTCAATGTCCTCCTGTGGTATCTCATTCCAGGCAACCACCAACTCCTCTCGAAGTGCTTCTAGAGTCTGAGGAGGACGTTGCAAATTGAGCAATCTCCTACCCATCATATCCCACACGTGCTCAATTGGGGATAAGTCGGAAGATCGTGGTGGCCATGGTAACAATGTGACATCATTATGTTGAAAGAAGTCTATTTTGACTCTTGCAACATGTGGTCGGGCAATATCCTTTTGGAAATTTCGGATCTGCCAGGGTGTCAAGATAGGGTAAAAGATGGGGTTCTAGAATTTCGTGGATATAACGTTGCGCGTTCATGTTACCTCTGATGAAGATTAAAGGTGACCTGGAACCATAAGCTATAGCACCCCAAACCATAACTCCAACAGTGTGATGAACATGTCTTTCAACAAAAAACTGTGGATTCCTCCTTTCACCACGACGCCTTGTAACCCTGGCATTACCATCGTGCATGCCTAAACAAAATCGAGACTCGTCACTAAAGACAATACTGTTCCATTCCTGATCCCAGAGTGACCGTTGTCTGCACCACTCAAGGCGATTACGTCGGTGTTCTCGAGTTAAAGGGAGGACCCAATGTGGCCGGTATGAAAACAAGCCAAAACTTCTCATTCGTCGGTAAACACTTCGCATGCCAATAGGTCTTCCGTGTTCTGCAAACCATTCATTTGCAAAGGACCTGGTAGTGGAGAAACGGTCCCTAAGGCCAATAATCTTAGGCGGCGATCTTCACGGTCTGTTGTTCTACGGCGGCGTCCAGTGCCCCTTGCTCTTTGCGTACGGCCTTCTCGAAGCCATGCCTGACAACACCTAACCACAGTGTCTACACTTCTTTGCACTCTAACTGCAATTGCCCGAAAAGAAAGTCCAGCTTCCCGAAGTCCCACTATACGGCCCCTATCAAACTCACTAAGTTGACGAAATCGTACAGGTCTCCGTACTCTAGGCATCGTAACCGATCGTAAAGGATGTCAAGAACCAAAATCCGCCAACGTTGATTCTTTACTGCGACTGAAATATTCATTTTTAGAGCGTTAGTGAATTAAAAAAAAGCAGTATAAAAACCGGAATGTCCAACTGATAAGGCTGAAAATTTTTTCACTTGTTATTTACAGTAAGATAAATACATTCACCAACTTTTATTAAAATAAAACTATTTAAACTGGGTGTTTGGATTTATATGTCACTTAGTATACTATACCTAGAGCTTGCGGACTGTACCACCTTAAGTACCACAATACATTAATTGAACATTCCAACCAAACACCAATATTTGCCCTATATTGGTTAAACTTTCGTTTTCTCTTTTAGCCGATATTGGCCCAACATGATATTCTGCGTTATTGATTGGCATAACATTATAACGGATAAATGCTGGCACGATATTGTATTGATAGTGGAAGTACAATATTGTTAAAATATATGTTGGCTTTATATTCTCCTTGTATACAGGGTGTTTCAGTTTATTGTTGCATAACTTTAAGATTCGATAGAACTTTTAAAATTAATGCATAAGGTCTATATAAACATGGGTCGAAAAATGTGTGGCTTCCGAAATACAGGGTGTTTTAAATTTACTTTCTAAAATAGTTTTTTTTAAATATTTCGAACAATATTTGATGTGTAATAGTGAAAATTGATATACAAGGGTTTTTTGGTACGACAAAACGAACCATGGGCATAGTTTTACTCTAGCCGCTACAGGGCGCTCTCTACTGTACCTGTAGTGTATAAAAATGACCGAAAATTTTTTCTTAGTGCAATTTTTTGCTTTTTGAATAAAAAACTGATTCTTCGCACTTTTCAACATAAAAAAGCTCTCTTGTGAATGTTCGTTATAGTTAGCCGTTTTTGAGATATTTCGATTTTTAAGGTTCGATGCATTTTTAATTGATTTATGATTTATTTATTATCTCGATAATTTTTAGAAGTAGGCTGTGCCTGCAAATATTTTTGAAATTGAAAGCAGAATAAGGTTAAACGTCAATTAGTTGACAGTTAGTTTTGTTGTCTGTTGAAACCTGAAACGTTTTTTGCAATTGTGAATGCACGAAATTTAGTTTCTTTCACCTGTTTTTTTTGTAAGTTTTATTTAAATGCCATTTTTATTCTCCAATCAAGAGTTAGCGGATATTCATTTTGTGTATGGCTTTGTAAATGGAAACGCAGCAGAAACAGCCAGAGAATACGCACGAAGATTTCCAAACACACGACATCCAACTCGCTCAGTATTTGTAAGAGTGCATCGCCAAATAATTGAAAATGGTTTTGGAAATCTTCAAAGGGATCAAAACATAAATGTTCGTCAGCGCAGATTTACCCGTATGATTCTGCATGAGTTTGTTAGAAATCCGACCACAAGTGTTAGGAGAGTTTCTGGTGCCTTGGGAATTTCAGCAAGCCATGCTCACCGTGTTCTTAGAAATGACCATATACGTCCTTACCATTTGCAACCTGTGCAAGGACTACAGCCAGTGGACGGAGAACGAAGAATCACATTTTGTCAGTTGGTTCTTGATAGAACTGATAATAATAGGGAGTTTTCAAGTAACGTTTTATGGACCGATGAGTCATGCTTGACTAGACGTGGAGTGGTAAATTTTCGTAATCAACATATTTGGTCGCATGAAAATCCGCATGCAGTTCGGGAAAGAAATTTTCAGCATGAATTTAGTGTCAACGTGTGGATTGGTATCTACCGTAATCGACTATTTAGACCCTACCTTTTGCCTGCAAGGTTAAATGCTGCGACCTTCTTGGAATTTCTGAAGGCTGAACATGCAAATATGTGGGATGATGTTATGTTAGATTTAAGAAGATTGGCCTGATTCCAGCTTGATGGTTGGCCAGCTCATTATTCCAGAATAGTTAGAAACTGGCTGGACGAAAATTATCCAGAAAGATGGATCGGCCGTGGAGGACCAGTCGCCTGGCCTCCACGATCCCCTGACCTAAATCTATTAGATTTCTTTGTGTGGGGATTTCTAAAAGAAAAAGTGTACCAGACTCCCGTAACCACAAGAGATATGCTAATAGACAGAATCAGGAATGCATGTGATGAAATAAGGCCTTATTTGAATAATGCTATACCACTTTCGATCATTCATAGATGTGAATTGTGTATTGAACAATTGGGTTTACATTTCGAGCAACTACTTTAGATTTTGTATGTTTGTCCTAACTATCCAATAGCATTTTAGTTGTAAATAATTAATTTAATTTGTTAAAAATAATATTAACAAATTAAACAAATTAATATTCTGTTTTTTTGTGTTTATTTGGAATTAGGAATTATTGCTGTGTTTAAAAACACAATCTAAACGATCATCTTAATTACTTGTAATGCCCAAATCAAAAATGTAAAAAAAATATTATTTTCCCATAAATAATTAAAAATGCATCGTACCTTAAAAATCGAAATATCTCAAAAACGGCTAACTATAACGAAAACTCACAGGAGAGCTTTTTTATGTAGAAAAGTGCGAAGAATCAGTTTTTTTATTCAAAAAGCAAAAAGTTGCACTAAGAAAAATTTTTCGGTCTTTTTAATACACTACAGGTACAGTAGAGAGCGCCCTCTAGCGGCTACAGTAAAACTATGCCCATGGTTTGTTTTGTCGTACCAAAAAACCCTTGTATACCAATTTTCACTGTTATACATCAAATATTGTTCGAAATATTTAAAAAAAAACTATTTTAGAAAGTAAATTTAAATTTCGGAAGCCACGCATTTTTCGACCCATGTTTATATCGACTTTATGCATTAATTTTAAAAGTTGTATCGAATCTTAAAGTTATGTAACAATAAACTGAAACACCCTGTATATCTACTGGCTTAATATTTCAAACCAACGTTGAACCAATATTTTTATCATTACGTTAGAGAAAATATGACATACAACCAATATTGAAAATCAATGTTGAGCCAATATAAAAAGAAGTATTGCTTTAATAATGTAAATAAACACTGAAACAGTATTGTCATAATTTATTGGGACGATATACAAATTGTCATGCAGCCGATACTGAATTGTTATATGGAGCCAATGAAGTAAGGCCACATTGGTTTGATATTGCAAATCAATGTTGAACCAATATTCTTAAAATTGATTGGGACAATACGCAAAATATGACATACAGCCAATATTGAAAATTAATGTTGAGCCAATATAAAAAGAAGAATTACTTTAATAATGTAAATAAACGCTGAAACAATATTGTTATAATTTATTGGGACGATATACAAATTTTGTCACGCAACCCATATTGAATTGTAATATAGAGCCCGCGAAGAAAGGCCATATCGGTTTGAATTGCAAATCAACGTTGATATAATATTTTCATCATTGTTTGGGACAATAGGCAAAATATGACATACAACCAATATTGAAAATTAATGTTGAGCCAATATAAAAAGAAGAATTGCTTTAATAATTTAAATAAACGCTGAAACAATATTGTCATAATTGACTATAACAATGTACAAATTGTCATGCAACCAATATTGAATTGTAATATGGAGCCAATGAAAAAAGGGTTTGATATTGCAAATCAACGTTGAACCAATATTTTTATTATTGATTGGGACAATAGGCAAAATATGACAGAACCAATATTGGAAATTGATGTTGAGTCAATATAAAAAGTATTGCTTTAACAATGTAAATAAACACTGAAACAGTATTGTCAGAATTGACTATGACAATGTACAAATTGTCATGCAACCAATATTGAATTGTAATATGGAGCCAATGAAAAAGGCCATAATGGTTTGATATTGCAAATCAACGTTGAACGAATATTTTTATTATTGATTGGGACAATAGGCAAAATATGACAGAACCAATATTGGAAATTGATGTTGAGTCAATATAAAAAGTATTGCTTTAACAATGTAAATAAACACTGAAACAGTATTGTCAGAATTGACTATGACAATGTACAAATTGTCATGCAACCAATATTGAATTGTAATATGGAGCCAATGAAAAAGGCCATAATGGTTTGATATTGCAAATCAACGTTGAACGAATATTTTTATTATTGATTGGGACAATAGGCAAAATATGACAGAACCAATATTGGAAATTGATGTTGAGTCAATATAAAAAGTATTGCTTTAACAATGTAAATAAACACTGAAACAGTATTGTCAGAATTGTTTGGGACAATATACAAGTTGTCATGCAACCAATATTGAACTGTAATATGGAGCCAATGAAGAAAGACCCAATATTGAAAATTAATGTTGAGCAAATATAACAAGAAGTATTGCTTTAATCATGTAAATAAACACTGAAATAATATTGTCATAATGTATTGGGACGATATACAAATTTTGTCATGCAACCAATATTGAATTATAATATGGAGCCAATGAAGAAAGGTCATATTGGTTTAATATTGCAAATCAACGTTAAATCAATATTTTTATCATTGATTGGGACAATAGGCAAAATATGACATACAACCAATATTGAAAATTAATGTTGAGCCAATATAAAAAGAAGTATTGCTTTAATCCTGTAAATAAACACTGAAACAATATTGTCATAATGTATTGGGACGATATACAAATTTTGTCATGCAACCAATATTGAATTGTAATATGGAGCCAATGAAGAAAGGCCATATTGGTTTAATATTGCAAATCAACGTTGATTCAATATTTTTATCACTGATTGGGACAATAGACAAAATATGACATACAACTAATATTGAAAATTAATGTTGAGCCAATATAAAAAGAAGTGTTGCTTTAATCGTGTAAATAAACACTGAAACAATATTGCCATAATTTATTGTCATGCAACCAATATTGAATTGTAATATAGAGCCAATGAAAAAAGGCCGTATTGGTTTGATCCAGCAAATCAATATTGTACCAATGTATCCAAATGACCACATTTTTCTTGCACCAATGTTGGGAAAATTAGCCAATGTATCCGCAATATTGTTCCTATATTGGGACAATGTACGTGTTCTACTTGGGACGTATGTTCTTTTGCCAAAAGATTCGAGAATCAGACATGGAGTAATCACATTCCCCTGAACGTGAAACTGATTAAGATTTACATAGGAAGAAATCTGTGTGGTCTTATACTTACAAGTTGTAATGATTTTGTACAGCGGACGGTAAGGCTGGTCTGGAGAGTCTCCAGGAATGTAGTCTCCGAGGCCGATCGTTGTCAGTGAGATGAAGCAATAGTAGAACGAGTCCAGGTAGTCCCATTCTGGCTCGATCATGGCGAATATTGCGGCAGGTATCAACAGGAAGAAGGCGACCAAGATCAACACTGCATAATAAAATGATAAATTATAGTCAGTACATCCTGGTTGGAAAACTTCTACAAGTAGAATTTGATTAGATCGAACAATTGAGTATAGAACGGCACCACTACGACTCAAATGAATAAAGCGTTCTTATTCACTAATACGAGTCTCAAAAATAAGGTGCCCAAGGTTGATCTTTGGCGCGAGTGATGCTAGGTAAAATCTGACAACACCGTCGTGTTTGTCGGCCATATGCATTTTATCTTGACGCAGTCAAATATGTCTCACATCGCATAGATCTGCAGGTATCTTCATATAAACAAGGTGTCCCGAAATTGAAGGATAATCCTACAACTGTGGATAGGTCTGGCCTGGCCTACTAAATTTTGTGTCTGATAGTTTTCGGGATTTTCATAATTCAATTTTTTTAAAACCGACTTATAATATTTTTGAACCAGGTTTGCTTTAAAACACTCAACATATTTATGTCCTACAGTATTATTTTAGTCTAAATTTTTATTAAAACCTCTTCTCACGTTTGACTTTGGCACCATGTACGAGCCCCTTCCCACTTCAGTTGGCTCAACTATTGAAATCTTATTTTTTTCTTATCAAACACAAATAATAACAATGTAGCAGGGTGTTGTAGGTTTAAAATATTAACAATGAATATTTTGATAATATGTAGTAGAAAACACCAACTTTATGACTCCCTAATCAAATTTGCAGCATAAAAATAACACATGTTGCAATTACAGCATATCAACCTATTTTCATTTCAATGCAAAATAAGTCTATAACGCATAGATGGCTGTGAAAAATAAAAGCCATGACAATTGTTTCTATTAATCACAGCTGTCAAAATACGTTTAAAATAGTTTTGGGTAGTTAAGGTTTTCAAAATGGGTAGAGGAAAGGTTATTAGTGAGAAAATTCGGTTACTGATAATTAAATTTTTTAATTCTGGGAAATCAAACTCAGAAATTATTGTTAGAAGATATAATGTAACTGGTTCAGTTAATATTAAGCCACGATATTTGAAAAAAAGTAATATCACAAATGCCGACCTAAGAGCATTAAGAAGAATAATCGTGAAAAACAGGCGTGCCAATTATTTACAATTAAGTGCTCTGTGGAGTGACGCTGTTGGAAGGAGAAGTTTGAGGTCCACAACTCATAGAGAGGCCCACTAACTGGGATCTAGAACTTGCAAAGTAAGTTTTCTTATAAAAAAGTGAAGTAAAAACCCTAAAGTTGCACAACTTGTTTATAGGGCAAAGAAAAGCCACTATCAACTCCACTGCAAAAGAAAAATCGGCTTAGATGGGCTAAAGAACATAGACTATGGACACCTCAATAATGGTGTGCAATACAATGGAGTGATGAAGCCCGATTTGAAGTTTGTGTTGGTGACAGTCGCAGTAGAGTTATTCGCAAAAAATGAAGCATTCCATGTTGACTGTCTGAAGAGAAAAGTGAAATGTCCAGCATCCATTATGGTATGGGGCCGTATGTCATCAAAAGGAGTAGGAAAACTTCATTTTATTGATGGAAATGTGGATACAAACAAATATTTGGCAATTTTTGAAGAATCGCTTTTACCAGTCATGGAAGAATGTTTGACATCCGGCCAAGATTTTGTGGCTATAAAATGGATGGAAGAAAATAATGTACCACTTTTGAAAAGGGGTTTCTAGCAGTCCAGATCTGTCACCTATTGAAACTTTGTGGCACGAGATGAAAAAGGTTCTACGACAACATCCTGCTCGTACAATCACCGAACTGAGACAAAAGCTTCAAGAAATATGGGATTGTTTTACACCAAATTTTTGCCACAACTTGGTTAACACTATGCCCCAAAGAATTTCAGCTGTAATAAAAAATAAAGGTGATGTTACCTAATGGTAATCTTTCAATTGTTGCTTTGTTAACTTCGCGCATTTATTCGCACATTGTTTATTTGTTCAGATATTCTATTAGTTATAGGTCTACAGTATATTCAGATAAGAGATAGACCGGATGTAAACAAAAGGTTCGGGTGATTTTCATGCTAACGCCGCCGTTTCGACGTAAAACAGGAGCCCTCATTGGTCAATTCGCAATTAAATGCCTATGCCGAGCGGTAGAGCAGTCGTATCAAGGCAGAGTCACATTCAGGTTCAGACGTGTTACGTATGTCGTGTGCATCATTGCAATTTGATATTTCTTTGGACGTTTTCGTTTGTTATCTTATTAAGTTGTTGAGTTTGTCGTTGTTATTGTTATACCTTGTTATTGATTGTTATTGTTATCAACTGCTTGCGCAAAATGCCCAGTAGTACAGATACTGCCGATGAAGTTGTAAACTCCTGTAGTCCTAGGAAACGCTCTAAAAAAAGACACCTGAGTGCAGAAATGAAAGAGGTCATTTTGAATATATATAAGATCGAGCGCGAGGAGAACGAGGCATCAACCATCAAAGAAATTATTGTGAAGGTTTCTCACAAAGTTGGGGTGTGTCGCGCATTAGTGTTTAATGTGTTAAGACAATACAAAAAAAATCACACCTTTTCTGAGCCAATGACCAGTAAACATCGCAAAAGTATTGTTAAATCATTGGATGAAGCTGATAAGCATGCGATTAGGAGGAAAGTGCATGAATTCTTTAGGAATGAAATACCTACTATAGATAAAGTACTGCAGGAGGTAAATGGAGATACAACGTTGCCAAATTTCAAACGATCAACTTTCCATGCGTTACTGAAGCATTTAAATTTTAAATGGAAAAAACGGGGTCGTAATAGTTTACTACTGGATAGAGAAGAAATTGTGCTATGGAGGAGGGATTATTTAACAAAAATTGGGAAATATAGAAATCAAAACAGGAAGATTTATTACCTTGATGAAACGTGGGTAAACGCAGGACACGCTACAAGTAAAGTATGGGTTGATGATTCTGTAACTTCATCCAGGAGGGCCTTTCTAGATGGACTGTCCACCGGATTAAAAAATCCAGCAGGTAAATACGAGTAATAGACAACAATCGGATGTTTTTCAAACCTTGGGAACAAGGTTCTAAACATTAATTCCAGGGGGCAGATAAAACATATTACAAGTAACAAAACTTTTATAACTTTCGATAAAATGCGTGAATGTTTTATTGTCATTTTCATTTGTTAAAACTTTTTTAAGCCATGTTTTTATGTGTTTTCGATATTTCAATAATTTTTTAATATAATCTTAAAATATGTCGAATATTATAAACTTAAAAAAAGTTACTAAGTTTTATATTGTGTACCGTTCCTAATATTTCTAATCATTTTAATTCATACTTTAAGCTTTATAAAGTTATAATTTGTTAATATTAATATTTGCGCGTATTTCAGGTTCCTGATCATTCATTTTTTAAAGGTTTATAACTTTAAATTAAATTGTGAAGCGCTGAGTAATCATACGACGTTCAATATTCTTTCTTTCAATATGACTAAATAATCCCAATTATAGCAATCTGATACTCATGTCTCAATGTTTTTTCGCTGAATGTGATGAAAACATTTGAAAAAGGTTCGCTTATTGAAATAAATCTACACCAGTTAGTACTTCGATTTCCAGGTAAAGGGAAAAGGCTCATTATCTGCCATATTGGCAGTGAGGATGGATTTGTTGTTGACGGTCTGTGGTGCTTTGAGTCTAAGAAAACTGGAGATTACCACGAGGAAATGAATGGCGAATCGTTTGAACAGTGGTTTTCAAAAATTTTACCGAACTTAGAGGAAAACGCAGTAATTGTGTTGGATAATGCGCCTTATCATTCTCGAAGAATGGAGAAGGTCCCAACAACGGCTTCAAGGAAAGTTGATGTTCAAAATTGGCTCCGCTCGAAAAATATCAACTTTGAAGAAGCAATGCTGAAAGTACAATTATTAAGAATTGTCAAGGATCACAAGGCGGAATATAAAAAATACGCCATTGACGAAATGGCAGCAAGTCAAAATAAAACTGTGCTCCGTTTACCTCCATACCATTGCGAGCTCAATCCCATTGAGCTCATATGGGCAGAGGTTAAAAATTATATAGCTAAGCACAATACAACTTTTAAATTTTGTGACCTCAAAGGACTTTTCAAAGAAGCACTAGAATTAATAACAGCACAAAAATGGGAAAACTGTATTAAGCACGTGAAAGACAAAGTTGAAAAGAGAATGTGGGAACTGGACATTATTTTAGAGGAACAAGTCGAGCCATTCATTATTGACGTTGGTGCTTCAGGCAGTAGCGATGATGAAAGCTCATCAAGCTCATCTTTCCAATAAAATATGTCGTTCATCAAATTCGGTAAGTTATAAGTAATTATAAAGCTACTGTATTTTTTAATTAATTATTGACATTTTTGAACCCATTTTGGCAAAACCTATTCAAGAATCTACTGTCTGACAATGTTCAACCATGCACATTTTTTTACGTTTTGAACGTTTTAATTTGGTTACATATTTACCTAGAAATCAAAAAATATACTAATCAATATTCTAAAAGCAATTTTAAGAGATATACGATTATTTTTAATTTAGGCTAATTTAAACGCCATTTTGAGATTATATTCGACTGTATTTCACCAAACATCAGGCGGCATCCGAAGCTGGAAATCGAAGCGAAAATTTTGAAACCCTTATGTATATTTACATCATTATATATTTCTTACCCCACCCCCACATGATCCTATATCCATCACCAATCGTATACACATCGAATTGTGCTAATTTACTACAAAGTTACGCAAAGCAGCATCTACTATCTAAAATATGTACTGCGTGACTCTTAATACGTCCCTGCCGAATGTTACAGCGTTCAATGATCACGTGGTCTTGTTTATGTCCGGTCTATCTCTTATCTGAATATACTTTAGAAGAAATTAGTTTGCTTAATTACCTACTACCTACTACTTAATTAGCTTTGCGACAATGTTACAACACAGAAAACAACATAAATGTACCCGGGAAATTCAAGGTATACGTACCAATTTAAGATCTATTTGCATTAAGGTAGATGTTCAATTTTACTAAAAATGAAGTAACTGCTTTGTTTCAGTGAAAGGACTATAACTGTAGAATATTATTTAAAAAAAAACTGTACATCTACAGCCTCCCATTTGAAGTATTTTTCACGAGTATCTAGCGCGGTCCAAGGACAAAAAGTGACAGTTTTGCATTGCTTCAGCAAATTCTTTTTGAGCGTTTCTGGTTTTGATTGGCCTTGACTGACATAAAAGTGACAGAATTCCCATTCAAATTTTTCCATATTCACTCCAGACCAGACAGAACCACAATCGCTCAAAAAGAATTTGCTCGCTGTTGGTTAAACAAGTTCTATACTTACTACAGATGCAAAATGTGTTTTTTTTTCTTAGTTAGGTATATGTGTTTGTTATTACTTTCTTTATTGTTCTGAACATCTGATGTAACCAACACAAACAGTTAAGAGTAGCCTTAGCTAAACTTCGCTGTTTATGTCTCTCTTGGTTAATTAATAAAGACTTTATTATTACTATTATTATAAATAGGTTGCCATATTTTCTACACATCAATATATATGATTTTTAGGATTCAAAACATCACGTAACGTTTCTGTAATCATACTAAATGCTTCCATTACACATTCTCGCAACTGCTGCTTAGTTTCAAAACTATAGTCAGTTTTTAGTAAAACGGGAAATTCGATTTTCCTAAGTTTTCCGGACTTCTCCTATGTATCTTAAAAATATTCAAACATGCAACAATTAAAATATTTGGCATTTTAATAAGTCACTATTCAAGTGTAATTCTCAATGATAACCAATGAAAACTATGATGTTTTCTTCGCCTAAGTTATATGCCACTAACCCTATTTCCTGACAAAACAACGTAAGTCTATAACAGTTTTTCGATCGTTTTCCATTATTATTAATAAACTGTAATGGATATTCGAAATTTCAATCTTTCAGATCTTGAATACTATATTGAGCCCATAAAGTACATTAAAACTGGTTTTTTGTCGGTGATACAATTTGTATTGTATAACGAAAAATTCAAAATGTGGGACTCGCAAAGTCTTTGCAATGACAGATTCCTATCTTTCCACTACTAATAGTCCTAGAATGTATGCCCATCCTATGTCCAAATAAACATACATATTTTAGTAATTTATATTATTTCATTATTAGAATGCTCCGAACGCCCTGTATATGATATTCAGAAATACGGATTCGGTTGTGCAATAAAAATCTACGTACATGTATAAAAAACAACGTAAACAGTACGACTCTAGCCAAGCGGTAGGGCGAGGAGGAGATGTGAGGGGAAAGGAGGGGTGATCCTGCGGCAAGGTACTGCGCGGCTTCAGTTCTCGGGGTAGCGCGTCGGCGGTAGGTCAGTACTACCAAATCGCGCCACGCCACGCGTCTTTTGTGCCGCTTGTGAAGTTTATATCATGAGGCAAAGTGTGATGGTAACTACGTTTTTACTTGCTTAGGGAGTTTGTATCACTTGTGTGTATATATTATTTTTTGAATCAACAGTGTGCAAGTTAACCCTGCGTTAGGCGCGTGGATACGTGTGACGTTGTTGGACGCGTGGGGGACAAGTGTCAATCAAATATCAAAAAACAAATAGAACTTTTTAGGCACTAAATGATGCTGTTTTTAAATTTTGTGCCCGGCATTTCGCTTTTGGAAACCATCATCAACTTTATTTTTTTATATGGTCCGAAAAAAAAAAACACCCATCTGATAGAACCTTTTTCTACGAATTCAACGATGTGGTAGCTGTTAACATTGGTTTTCTGAAGTTACGCTACGCGTCTTTTGTGCGTTCGTGAAGTTTCTTTATATCATAAGGCAACGTGTGGTGGTTAAGTGGGTTTTTACTTGCTTAGGGAGTTTGTAGTACTTGTGTAATATAGGATGTCCCAGAAATAACACGCCACAGTGACACGGGAGGTAGATTGGCTTCAGATTAATCGGATAAAATCAACATGACCTTAGTAAAAGTTTTCGAGATATTGCCACTTTTAAAAACTCTCTCTTTTTGCTCCTTTTTTACTTATTATGGGTATATAGATTTTCTAACTTATGATTTTTTTCTCCTGGGCTACCATTAATAGTTGGTTGAGTTCATTGAAAGCTATCATGCTAAGAAAAAGTCTAGCATTTTGTTTCAATGTGAAAACCTTTACTAAAGTTTGACTAATTACTGTGAAAAGAAATCTACCAGATTGAATCGGCAAATAATCTTAAAAATTATCCTATTTAATGCTCTTTTAAAAATATTATTTTTTATTTGTAGTATTTCGCATGTATTACTTCAATGACAAAACTTGAAATTATTCAGTTTTTAGTAAAAGGAACCTACAAATGCTATACTATTTTTGAAAGAGCATTGAATATCTAGTTTTTGTCATTTGCTGATTTTTACATTCCGACAAAGGAAGAGATTTGTTTTGATGCCACAAGGCAAAAAACAGGCTAACCAGCTGTCGTTAGAAATCTAAAAGTCGGTAAATATTGACATGGTACAATTTAAAAACCGGTACAAGAAACTTGATTTTTTCCTATATTTTTCAAACATTTTGATTCAAGTCCTACATTTCGAAAAAAATGTCGGATTCAAAAATATGTTTCTATTTGTTTCAGGTCCAGGGTCCAGTTGAGATGGAAAAATTAGCAGAACTAGGTGGGTTTTGTTTCCAGTTGTATAGACTAAACTTTTCTGGAGCAAACTGTAAAAATAACAATCAGCAAGAAATGCATGGTGCTTCAAAGAATCGGAGTGATATATTTCACATGTTTCAAACTCCAAAAAATGTTTCGTTCATTTTGATAGCTTTACTTTGAGAGGCAATTTCAAAATATTTTTGTATTTGTTTCAGGTCCAGTTATAGTTGAAGGCTCAACAGAAAGGCAAACTAGGTAAGCGCTTTTATTTGTAAATCTTATGTTTCAAATGAAACTAAACCAATAATAATGATAAATAATTTTTTGAGGTATAAAGAAATTTAGACATGAAAGAAAAAGGGTTGCTGGAGACAAAACGCTTGAGCTTTTCAATTTTTTCCGTAAAAAACATGTTAAAAATATTGCAGTGCTAAGATGATTGTTGAGATATAAATAAAAACAATTGGAAATACGGTAGTGGACAGGTTAGTACGGAGGGCCAGTTCTTGGATATTCTGAATAACTATTGTGAAATATGAATTTTTTTATTAAAAGTCAAAGATTTTATTTCAGGGTATATTTTATATCTTATTTTTAACCGATTTTGTGACACAAAATTCAAAATTGTAAGGGTTACAATGTTGGTTTCATCAATATTTTACAAAATAATGCTTAAATTTAAAAAAAAGGTGTTTTGGGATTTCACTTTCAAGATCGGATTCAGCTTTATTTCCTTGTATTTTAAGTGCAATGCCCTGTAATTTATACTCTAATTCCGATTGTTCAAAGTTCTTGTGTTAGGTTTATTCATGGCATAAGAAAATATGAACACATTTCGAAAAAAAAATTAGAAACTAAATGGAACAACATAAGAAACATTCAAAATTTCTGCGATCACCTTATTTAATAAAATTGTTACACAAAAGAGACCTGCCTACCTTTATAAACAAAAATAAATTTCGAACAGAAGTTATTAATATTAGATCCAAACTCCTCATCACTCCTCCTATCCATAAAACCACCATTTATGGAAGGAGTTTCAGCTACCAAATTGCTAAGGACATCCCTTAGAAGTTTCTGGGGCTGACGGAACTCCCATTTAAGAAGACAATTGAATATTTTATTTTAAAAAAACAGCAAGAATGAAATGTCAATTTTTTTATTTAATTGATTGGACCATTCAACTCGTTCATTATTTCAATTGTAATTTTTTTTTGTTTCTTTGTAAGGTTGAGTGGAAGAGCACGCAGTATGAACTGCGCCTTTTGGTTAAACCAATAAAAACAATTATTATTATTATTATTATTAGTAATTATATTTCGCCGAAAAACACATCTTACAAGTAAGGTTATGCCCCTTATTTAGGTTTTTCAGTAATTTTTTAGTGATTTAACTGTGTTATACAAACAACATGAGTTCTGATTTAGTGAAACGACATTTAGTATGCAAATGCCCTGAATTTGAATCCTCTCACAAGTTCAAGATTATGATGATACTGTAGAAAAACCTATTATACAGGTCCGAACCCACAGCAGTTTCAAAATACACATAACCCTTCGTTAGATTTAGTAACATAATGGTACATCACACAATTAAATATCAAGTCTGGACCTGAATACTACGTTTTTGCACGTTATTAACTTCAAGCTGGTGTGGAATATCAAATTTAATGGAATCGCACATTTAAACTATAGTCTAATGATATTAGGCGAAAATACCCCTGCTTTGCGAAATAAGTCTGGTTTTATTGATGACAATTGTTCAAGGGGGTACTTAAAACATGGACGCATAGAATAGGTACACCAATTTTTGTGGGAAAACTTGATTCGACAACCAAGAATGAGAAAACGTGTTCTTTGGGATTCAATCGAAAGTGTTGTCAGGAACCAAAAAACTCATCAAATAAGTTTATAGGTATTTATGAGACCATATCTAAGCAGATCCGACCTTATAGTAAAAAAGTTATGGCCGAAAACCGAGGCAAAATGCAGATTTTGGCACTTGTTGCTAATGTGACGAGAATTTCACGCAGCTACTTGAAATTCTTCAAATCCGTAGGCTTCATACTTCTGAATTACCACAACAAAATTGGAGTCGATTGGTCAAGTAGTTTTTGAGAATTTATAATTGTTTATCCCAAAACACCTGTCTTTCGGCCATCACTTTACCGCCGACATGAATCACAAATCATTCCGAAAGATAATTGTTATTTTTATGCGAATAACGAAGGTTTATATTGTTGTTGATTAAATGAGCATCTACGTTCAACAGTAACTTGATAAATACAAAAACTGTGGGTTAGCTCACTTAATTTTATAAGCATCCTATGCGGCTCCTAGAGGTACCTAATTTGACCGTATCGAAAACTACAGCGTATTATGACAAACAAAATTTCTAATGTCTTTCATTATTGTTTGTCAATAATTTATTATCTAAGATCTAGGTTTTCATAAATGATCTGCTATGATCCGTCATAGTGCTTCTGGAATTTTAACAAAGTAATATAATATATAGTCAACGCCAAACAAAGTGGCGTGCACGTCATCAAGGTGGGTGTGTTGAAAAATTTACATTGTTGCCAAACTTTTTGTAAAATAATAAAATTTATTATTTACATATCTAGGTTTATAAGCAATATTAACCTCAAATGAGAACAAAAATAATAGTATAATAAAATTATAGATCTGTACTTGCATAATCATTAAGTATGACAATTATTGATCAGATGACACTATGAAACTACCATATTTAATTGATAGCTTAAAGGTACTGAATAAAAATCCAAATGGGGTCCTCCAAATTTTATGCATGGTATTTATTTTACAGAATTCATACAGAAAAATGCATTCTTAAATTAGGTAAGCTACTGGTGTAAGCTTTTTCTGTACAATAAAGTTAGTCGGAGTTTCTTTCTTCAGCGCTGTCTGAATCTGAATCTTCATCACTCTCAAAGTTGATTATTAAAGGTTCGATGTCTGGTCGATCAAAAATTCGTTCTCTTTCATACCATTTAAAAATTTCTTGCTCGGTATGTCGAACACTATTTTTCCACATGTCTGGGGTAACCGTTTGTAGAGCCTCGTTCCACATATCCAAACAGTCTTTTTCACTGTTACCATCTCTACCAATATGTCTGTTATAGTAACCTTTTGCTATGCCCCAAATTAACTCAATAGGGTTAAATATACAATGGTAAGGAGGCAGACGAAGAACTTTGTGCCCATGTTGTTCCGCCAATTCATCAATCACGTATATTTTAGGTGGTTTGTTTCTAAAAAAGCAGTTATTTTAAGAATAGGAATAAACAAAAGAAATATAAACTGTCGACCAAAATATATATAATTAAGAAGCATTATGTACCGAGCAACAATACTCAATAGCTCTGTTTTAAACATTGTGTTTAAAAATGGTATGTTTTGATTTGTCAACCAGTTTTGGATATTTTTTTTGTCCATGCATTGTTGGGCACTTTGTTCAATATCATGCTGTGATAAGGGGCGTTATCCAGTATAATCATAGATGGACTCTCCAATTTTTCTAATAACTGATGTTGAAACCATTTCAAAAAATTGTCCTGGTTCATCTCTCCATGGTAATCGCTCAATTTTGTTTTCGAAGAAAATATCGCTTCACTACCCTCAATAAATCCATTTTCATTTCCAGCATGTAATATAATGTATCTAAAATATATTAGTTTTAAATTTTATAGTGCAAATTGTGTAAAAGTACATACCTTTTACCATCTGTTTTAATAGCTTTCATGCTTTTTTGGTTTCCATTTTGCCAAGAGCGACCTATGGTCCTATTTTGAAATATCCAAGTTTCATCGAGGAAGACAAACTGGTATAAGGCCTCAACCTTGGCTTGATTGTATTGCCTTAGAAATTCCACCCTTTTCAAAGCTATACTTGGTAGTTCCATGAGCCCTCGTCGCGGATTGTCCTTAAGCCACTTAAATCCAAGATCTCTAAGCAACCGCCTTAAAGACGTGGCACTACCATCAAATAATGCCCTATCTCTTAATCGAGGCCATAAAGTTTGTATCGTAACTTGTTCTTCTGAAACCATGTGTAATATGACATTATAATTTAGTTAACAAATTAATGCAAATTTCTGATAAGTTATTATAATAAGATCTTACTTTTGTGATACATATTATAGATCACTTCTCGAATGGCACTTGTATCCAATGTCGCTGTGTTGGTTACACGTTTAATATAACTCCGCTCTTTCTTGGGCGATTCTAAATTTGCATCACTTTTCACACCCTCGGAAATACGACTAACTGTCCTTAAACTAATTTTTAAAGCAGCAGCAACACGCTACAAAAAATGAAATAAAATTTCACTATTATTAATATACATTACATATAATTATTAGTAACCTACCTCTTGAACAGCATTTAAAGGCAACAAAGGCCCGTTGTTGTCCCTTTCTTGCTCAAAGTAGTGCATTAACGAGGCCACGAGTTCCTTACACCGACTATTTAACTGTTTGGACATCTTTATATACCAAAATTGCCTTTATCTACTCGTAAAATGAATAATTTTGTTTTGAAACAAACAGTTGTTGATTTACAGTATGCGGGGCCAAAGGATTTATAAAGATTTGAAATGCCACAAATTGATTCAGTGTCAAAATTAATACAAATGTCAGTTCCCAGTTTAAATAAGTTTCAAGGTGACAATGTGTCAACGCTGCGAAATCGGTTTAGTGCGTTTACATGTCGATAAGTGATTGGAGCGTTTGCAAAACATTTTATTTCGCATAATGCGTCTAAATTTATCAGAAAGCAACCTATGTGATATTTTAATAACAATGTTTATATGACTATTAACCATAATAAGAGAGTAATGACCATTTTACAATTTATATATCACATTAATATGAAACTGCAATAGAGCAATTGTTTGTTATAGAAACCTAGGCATTAGGTCGGGGAATTTTTATCGTGATGACGTGCACGCCACTTTGTTTGGCGTTGACTATATATATAAACAATCATGCAATAAAAAAACAAATAATGTGAAGAAGCATTTATTTCTCCAAATTTAAAAAAATAAAAGAAAAAAGGAGCTTTGTGGATTCGTATCTGCGGTTATACAATCGTATCTTGGTTTACTAGATCTTTATACCCCTACACTGGAAGCTGACAAATGTCAAGCGAATGTTGCAGGCATATCAAATCTGTTTTAAACAATTAGAATACTCTTGAAAATTATACAAGATAGAATACTGAAACTTGATGTGTTAGGGACTAATACGGAGCATTTTGCTTAACTTTTCAGACGGTCAGTTCGCTACAATTGGTTGATATTTATCTACTATTTTTTCGTTTTTTTCGAGCTCAGTTTCCAACATCTTGAGCTCGCAGCCGTTTTAATCGTACATGATTTCGAAAACTGATGTACTAATACTTTTTAGAAAAAGTAAAGAAACTGGATTACGTGACCTATTTATTTGGCAAAGTCATCAAGAATGCAGAAATTTAGTACACGCAATTTTGTTGTGGTTATTTAGACGTATATCTAAAGCCTATGGATTTTAAGAATTTCAAGTGGGTGTGTGAAATCTTATCAAAAGAGTTTTTTCGTTCCTGCCAACACTTTCGATTGATTCCCAAAAAACCCGTTTCCTCATTCTTTGTTATCGAATAAAAAGTTTCCCCACAAAACTTGGTGTTTCCATTTTATGCGTCTATGTTTTAAATATCCCTTTCAATAACTTGCATCAATAAAACCAGACTTTACAATTATTTCGCAAACCATGGGAATTTTCGTCTGATATGATTAGACGAATAGCAAACAAACGTGGAATCAACTATTTACACACTAAAAACTACCTAGTCTCCAATATGACATTTCGTCGGGTTTTTTGACGTTTTTTTTTTGTTTTTTGTATAATAGTTGTGCCGTTGTCCATTGTTGGCAGCAAGCCCAAAATTCCAGATCTTTATTTTCAAAAATTCTGACAATGTTCACTAAAAAATCAAGGACTAATTCTTCAGTCTATTCAAAGGTTGCTTTGTCCTTAAATCGTTTTCGAAAAACGCCTTCGTTTCGAAGGTACATGGCAAATAAAAATTTTGAAAACGTAACGTATCGCAACACTTCAATGTTATTAAATTTGTGTTTTTGTCACGCGAATAGGGTGGTAAAAAAAGAGTACATAGTAAAAACTAAGCTTTAAAAAACCCAAAAGTATTTTTTTCCTTACGGAACCACCTGTATTTATAATTTACACTGTAAAACAATAAAAATATAGCTTACTATAAGGTTGCCGCAAGATAGTGGTTTCTGAAATGTTTGGAAATTTTTCATTTGCAAAAATGCTCCGTAAGGGCAAGGATACAAGTATGGTAAAATAGGGTGATTATTTATTGTCTAACGGCAATTTTTCGCCATATTTTGATCAGTTGGTACCTCCACGGACTGCCTAGTCGAGCAAGGGGTATTCTCCATGTTCGTGCGAACCAGCTTTCATAAAAGGTGTCAATATGTTATGGCGAACTATCTTATTCATATTCGTTTATGTAACCAAATATTAGAGAACATAAGAGGTACCATACAATGAAAACAAACTACGAAAATAGTACGAGTGTAAATTATTTTACATAAAACAGCTTTTATAGCTATTCATATGCCGAAACTTTCGCTAGAATTGTTCCATCCGACCTTCCTGCTCAAGTGTGAGAGTGAGACCTTTATTAAGGTAGTGTATAGTCATGCTGTTTCTACTTGTTCCAGGGACTAGGGCAGTTTGCTGAAATGTAAGTGCATTTAGGGTTTTCTTATTGGTGTAGGGTTTTCAGCCGAACAGAGCGAGAGATGAGAGATTGATAAACCTACTGGCTGTATAAGGTTCAACTCCCTTATACAACCAGTTTGTTAGTGTGAATTGAGACATTTGGCGAAAGAGGTTGACTAGCCCCTTTATCCTCGGTAGGCTGTCGATTATGTCTTGAATTTATCGGGGCATTGCACACAGCTCCGAGAAAATTTGGGTCCATGAGCGACAGGATAGAATTGGAAGGGGCGTCTTCAATGTTCCTTCGGTTTCTACACTACCTTAGGATAGCTGGACACAACAAGCGATGAAAGGGCGGAGGGCTTTTTTGGTCTGTGGAACCATTGTCTTTTTCGGGGTTGGAAGAAGACTTTGGGGAGCCGGATCTTGACTTGTAAGATCGATCGACTTCATCGATCTATCTCGCTTGTCGCTACTGACTAATTTTGCCCAATGCGAAGAGCGAGCATGGTTGACAAATGTGGCGGACGACTCCTCATACTGCCCTCCTCAGACAGGGTGCCCCACTTAGATAGTTAGGGATCACTAGGAAAAAGCGTCAGTTCAGTTGAGAAGTTAGGAAAAATATAACGGTTGCAAATTTTAAAAGTAGAGAGAATCGGAATTGTCATGTACGACATAAGCTTCAACAAAAAGGTTTGCATCATATAACTCCAATCAAGTGGTCGGGAGTAGCGAGTAGCTAGGGAAATGTTAGGGAATTTTTTTGGGCACTCTGAGATGTGGGGGCACGTCAAGAGAAAGATACAACTCTTCACCTTGCCTTGCTGCGAAAAAGCAGGGGCACATCGAGAGATTCAGACACATAGTATGCTCTTGCGCAGAGCATGCAGGAGCACAGGGACAACAGGAGTTTGCTGAAATGTAAGTGCATTTAGGGTTTTCTTATTGATGTAGGGTTTTCAGCCGAACAGAGCGAGAGATGAGGGATTGATAAACCTACTGGCTGTATAAGGTTCAACTCCCTTATACAACCAGTTTGTTAGTGTGAATTGAGACATTTGGCGAAAGAGGTTGACTAGCCCCTTTATCCTCGGTAGGCTGTCGATTATGTCTTGAATTTATCGGGGCATTGCACATAGCTTCGAAAAAATGTAGGTCCATGATCGACAGGATAGAATTGGAAGGGGCATCTTCAATGTTCCTTCGGTTTCTACACTACCTTAGGATAGCTGGACACAACAAGCGATGAAAGGGCGGAGGGCTTTTTTGGTCTGTGGAACCATTGTCTTTTTCGGGGTTGGAAGAAGACTTTGGGGAGCCGGATCTTGACTTGTAAGATCGATCGACTTCATCGATCTATCTCGCTTGTCGCTACTGACTAATTTTGCCCAATGCGAAGAGCGAGCATGGTTGACAAATGTGGCGGACGACTCCTCATACTGCCCTCCTCAGACAGGGTGCCCCACTTAGATAGTTAGGGGTCACTAGGAAAAAGCGTCAGTTCAGTTGAGAAGTTAGGAAAAATATAACGGTTGCAAATTTTAAAAGTAGAGAGAATCGGAATTGTCATATACGACATAAGCTTCAACAAAAAGGTTTGCATCATAGAACTCCAATCAAGTGGTCGGGAGTAGCGAGTAGCTAGGGAAATGTTAGGGAATTTTTTTGGGCACTCTGAGATGTGGGGGCACGTCAAGAGAAAGATACAACTCTTCACCTTGCCTTGCTGCGAAAAAGCAGGGGCACATCGAGAGATTCAGACACATAGTATGCTCTTGCGCAGAGGATGCAGGAGCACAGGGACAACAGGAGTTTGCTGAAATGTAAGTGCATTTAGGGTTTTCTTATTGATGTAGGGTTTTCAGCCGAACAGAGCGAGAGAAGAGGGATTGATAAACCTACTGGCTGTATAAGGTTCAACTCCCTTATACAACCAGTTTGTTAGTGTGAATTGAGACATTTGGCGAAAGAGGTTGACTAGCCCCTTTATCCTCGGTAGGCTGTCGATTATGTCTGGAATTTATCGGTTCATTGCACATAGCTCCGAGAAAATTTGGGTCCATGAGCGACAGGATAGAATTGGAAGGGGCATCTTCAATGTTCCTTCGGTTTCTACACTACCTTAGGATAGCTGGACACAACAAGCGATGAAAGGGTGGAGGGCTTTTTTGAAGAAGACTTTGGGGAGCCGGATCTTGACTTGTAAGATCGATCGACTTCATCGATCTATCTCGCTTGTCGCTACTGACTAATTTTGCCCAATGCGAAGAGCGAGCATGGTTGACGAATGCGTCGGACGACTCTTCATGCTGCCCCGCCCCCCCCATCATGCCGTTGCAGAGGCGGGAAAGTTAAGGAAGGAATACCCCTGGGTCCATGGCCGAGCTGTTAAACAGGGATCCAGAATTTAAAAGGATACTGCTAAGTATCAATATAGTGTATTTCATAGGTCTGTTGTCTATGATTATTTATGCTTTAAAATCGTAGCGCAAGGGTTTTTCTTAGTTTTTTTGAACTTTTAGGTGAGAGTGAGGACATTCCGTATTTCAGGAATGGTGATGAACTATGCTAAATATTAATGATAACGATATATTATAATTTTAAATTACATTTGGTATTTACCATTTCTATTAGGTACAAATTTTACGAATATCTACTTTTAGCTAAGAAGTGATTGGACATATTTATACATATTTTACAAAATTGTTGTCCGAAAACGTTCAGGCTTCCTTCCAGAATCGTAGCCCAAATATATTCATCAAGCTTTGGAGGGAGGACACTCCCCATTTCAGAAATGGCACTGGTTATAGACACTCCCGAGCGTTATAAAAAAGGTGTTGCAAATAATGTTCTGCCTTGATAGCTGGATGAATGTTGGTGGATAAAGATAGAGATTGAATAGGAACTATAGAAAATCGTTTAAAGTCCCGATTTGTAGTATGCTACAATACATGAAAACAGCAATCAACGAATATCTAGCATTTTTACAGGGTAAGCATTGGAGAGTATGGGATCAAGGAGGTTGGTTTTAAACTTGACGAACCACTAGACAGGTTGAAGATCTTGGAATCGTTCCCAAGAGATATATCTTCAAAACTTACCTTAAGAAGATTAAAAGATTTCCACCCAAACTATACTCGTATTTATGCTACTATCCATGAAATAAAGAATCAACCTACTTGATGTTTCAAAATAAGCAGGGGTATTATTTAAATGGGAGTACTTATGTGAACTTTCTTTGTAGATAAACCTGTGGATAATAGTAGTATGGTCTAATATCCATATATTTATGAAGCTTTGCGAAATATTTACAGCCAGGTTACAAGCAAAAGCTTCTAAAAATGTTCACGATTTTCATTCAGGGACATATTTGGGAAGCTAACATTCCAAAAATTATACTTCCTCACCCTCTTGAATATGATCACAGGCTGGTACATGCAGAATGAACATCAATTGAAATGATAATCGAAATAATAAAGAGGCATTTTCGTGTGGTTAATCATTTCCGAAGAGATGACTTGCAAAACACGTGGCTGACGTAAAATCGTCCAGTGTTTTTCAGAGATGAGATATGTGAAAAGTTCAGGTTTCATAAGTGTGTCCGTAGATGCTAAGTAACCAGATAAGAAGGTAGTAGTAGTAGTGGTAGTAGTAGTAGTAGTAGTAGTAGTAGTAGTAGTAGTAGTAGAGTAGTAGTAGTAGTAGTAGTAGTAGTATTTCTGGTAATACTTAGTGATAGAGAGGCTAGTAGTAGATCATTACAGGTATGAGGCAGGCTGTGGCCCCACAATGGTCTCCAAACCTATATTTATTATTATACGTTTTTTTTAGTTAAATTTGGTATTCACTATTTTTATTTTACTATCGACATCTGGATAAAACACCTTTATTGAGAAAATATATTTACAAGCAAAATGGGTTACCATAATTCTTATTTTTACGTATTTCAAAGGTCTGTTGTCTATGATCATTTAACTTTTAAAATTGTAGCGCAAGTGTTTTTCTTAGTTTGTTTCAGCTTTTAGGTGATAATAAGAACGTTTCGTATTTCAGGAATGGTGATGAACAATGATAAATAATGATGATAATGATATATTATAATTTTAATTTTAGCTTACATTTAGTATTTACTGTTTCTATTAGGTACATATTTTACTAACATGTCTATTTTTAGCTAAAATGTGATCATACATTCCGTATTTTTACGTATTTTACAAAACTGCTGTTCAAAAACTTCCAGGCTTTCTTTCAGAATCATAGCTCAAATATTTTCATCAAGCTTTGGAGGGGGACACCCCCAACTTAGGAATTGCATACGCTGTAGACACTCCTGAGCGTGATAAACGTGAGATAATGAATACTGATGATAATGATTTGTACAGGGAACTGTTCCAAAAACTGTTCTGCCTGGATAGCTAGATGAATGTTTTATTGGGCATACACGAGCCGGGTGGATGTTGAATAGGAACAATAGGATCATGTTAACAATGTTTAAAGACCCGATTTATAGTATGCTGCAATACATGAAAACAACAGTCAAACGAAGTATGGCATCAAGAGGGTTGGTTTTGAACTTCATGAACCACCGAAGAATAGATAGAACTGTTAAGGATCTTGGAAACGTGCCCTAGAGATGCATTTTCTAAACTTACCCTAAGAAGACCAAAAGCATTCCACTCAAACTATACTTAAATAAATAAATACAGAGCCAACCTACTTGATGTTTCAAAATAGCAGAGGTGTTATTTAAATGGGAATACTTATGTGAACTCTCTTTGTAGATAAATCTGAGGATAATAGTAGTATGGTCGACAATCAATATATAGATGAAGTTTTACGAAATACAGTCAGGTTCCAAACAAAAGCTTCTAAAAATGTCCATACCACTTTTGAAATTCAGAAGGCATTAAAGGAAATAATTGGGAAACTAACACGACGAGGCAAAAAGTTATATGGATATCAACTAAATTGATAATCGAAATAATTGACAGGTATTTTTACATAATCTTGAACTTACTTATTCTTCATGTTTCACTGACGTCTTACCCGATAAGTCAGTCTTATCAGGAAATCTAATTTCTGAAACCTATTGCAAAAAGCAGCGGTGCCATAAAAGAAACCTTTCAGCAAATCTTATCAGAAAGATGTCAGTGAACTACGA